GATTCGGAACGAGCGAAGCCCGATAATCAAGCCAGCGCTTCAGCGGGAGCAACCTTTTCAACAAAAACCAAGCGAAAACCCTTTTTCCCAGGAATCCTGTGTAAAACAGTAGTACGCGGAAGGGGGCTGGATATCTTCCAGGCGTCATCAGGGGAGAGAGGAGAGCACTTGTATAATTGTAGGGCGGAAGGGTGCAGGGGAATGGGAAGGCAGGCCGAGAGAGGTTCGCCAAGGGCTTGCAACAGGTCTACGACCAGGCGGAACGACCAGAGAGGTGGGTAGGGGGGGGGGGGGGGGCGAGGGGGGAAGGGAAGAGGCAGAGGAGGGCCCAAGCCACCGACACCGCGATGTTGTGGTGAGGGGGGGGGGGGGCGAGGGTGGAAGGGAAGAGGCAGAGGAGGGCCCAAGCCTCCGACACCGCGATGTTGTGGTGCCGTGGCCCCCCGATCCCCCAGCCCCACCTCCGAGACCAGTCTCTCTCGCGTCGCGGCTCGCGCTCTTGCTGCGGGGGCCCGCATCGGGCCTCCGGAGGCCCAACCTGCGGGAACAAAAAAACGCAGTCATCCCCGAGGGTCGATGCTGCGAACCAATTGCAACATCGTAGAAAATCTGGACCGGAGCCCCAGGCCCATCCAATGCCCCGCAGCTGCATGAAGCTGAAGACATGCCTGGCTGCGGTGGCAGCGAAGACGATATCCCAGGACGAGCTGCCGCAGAAACCTCTCACCCCAGAGCTGGATCGACCTGCGGGGGTCCCAGGGCCAGACATCGGCGCAAACGCCCGGTGCGACAAAAACGCAAAGGCCAACTCTCAGGGATGATCTCGCGGCGCCGGAATCCCCGAACCGAGAGAGGCGAGAGCTCCGACACCTCGGCTGCACACGGCCCTACAGGCAAGGGTGTCCTCTGCAGTGCGCGGCCTGGGGGGGCGCGAGGGGGGGGGGGGCAGATCCGAGCGCGCGAGCCGCTGGCATCGCGCCGCGCTCAGCGATTCGGGGGCCCTCCCGTGGCCCGTGTCAGAGGTCACTCCGGCGAAGGGTCCCTCTCCCCCCCTCGGCGCCGAGGCACCGCCGCCGGGTGCGGGGCCCCTGCCCCCGCCCGAGCCCGCCCGCCGAGCCAGGGCTCGGCCCACGGGCGCCTCTGCCCGCGGAGGCGCGCTGGGCCGGGCCGCCGAGGGGCCGCCGACGGGCCGCCGAGGGGCCGCCGAGGGGCCGCGGACGGGCCGCCGAAGGGCCGCCGAAGGGCTGCCGAAGGGCCGCCGAAGGGCTGCCGCCGTAAGGGCCGCCGAGGGCGGCCGAAGAGCCGCCGCAGGACCGCCGAAGGGCCGCCGAAGGGCAGCGGAATGGCCGCGAAGGGCCGCCGCGAGGACGCCGACGGGCCGCCCACGGTCGCGGCGAGGACCGCGGAGGGCGGCCGAGGGCCGCCGAGAGGTCGCCGGAGTGGCGCCGAGGGGCGCCGACGGCCGCGATGAGGCCGTCGAGGGCGGCCCCCGGGTGGCCGAGGGCTGCTGGGCCGACGGGTCGTCGACGGGGCGCCGAGCGGGCGGCCGTGCGGGCGGCCAGAGGGCCGCCGGGCGGACGGCGGCGGGCCGCCGAGGGCCGGGCTCTTGCCCTCCACGTGGTGGTGCCTCTCGCAGTCCTGGCAGCGGCGCGCCGTCGACGTCGTCGTCGTCGCCGCCGCCGCCGCCGTGGCAGGGTCAGTCTGCACCTCGTCGGTAGGAATCGAAGCGAAGCGGAGCGTGCATCGGAGCGGGCTGCGTCGGCACGGCACCGAGGTCGAATCGGATCGGCTGCGCCAGGATGCACAAGAAGCGCCATGCAAACGTCGGGCCGATCATCGGATCGTCGGAACACCGGAGTCGAATCGGATCGGGCTGGCCGGAATCGACATCAGATCGGATCGATGGGATCGAACTGGACACTGGGTGGCAGGAGCAAGGATAGGCGACACCACCACCAGCGCGAGGAGTCAGGGAGATCCTGCTGGTGGTGTGTTCCCTCCTCTTGCTCCTTCAGACCCCCCCTACCCTCAGGTCGGGGAGGCATCGTGGTCCTCCTCGCTGGATCGCCGTGATGATCGCCGTGGTCGTCGCTGCCGTCGTCGATCGTCGTCGTCGTCGTCGTCGTCGTCATCGTCGTCGTCGTCGCGGTGATCGTCGACGTCATCGTCGTCGTCGTCGTGGACGACGTCTTCCACCACCTCCCTCCAACCCATCCTCCCACCGAGACCCCCTCCCCCCCTGACTCTCACTACCCTTCCCCCGCGCCCCACCCCGCGACCCGCCCCGCGACCCGCCCGCGACCCACCCCGCGCCCGCCCCCATCGCTCTTCTATCCGCCACCGCGGGGTGCCATGCATCCTTACACTCTGGGGAGCGTGGTGGACCGCCCACGCCCGCCGCCTGCCGCCCGCTGGGCAGGGAGGCAGAAGGCCCCCCGGGGGGGGGGGCCCCAGAGCGGGGACGGCGGCCACGAGCCCTGTGGCCGACACCGGGCCACCC